GCTATCCCATCACCGTGCACGCTCGACGATACAGACTCTGATAGCCCACCCCCACTCAAGAGACACAACACCCAAGCATCCGGCAAAGTTGCCCCACCACAATGAGGTACCTTACTACCTTTGCATTGCATTTAGATTAATTTATTTTAATTATTTTTCATGCATTGAGGAATGTTACCTGAATTTTGGGGGAGGTATTGTGCTCGTAGTTAGTCATTTGCATTAATAATGTTAGCAGTAAAAATTTTGTTATGACATTAGTCAGGATTAGGTTTGTTACTTGGAATAAGTTGATGATGCCCGATGATGATAAAATATTTTTTCCATGGCTAGAACTTAATGTACGTGACTGTTGAGGAGGATAGAACTGACCCTAGGACTTGATTTTTTGTGACTCTTTGAACACGATTATATGTTTTTTTATGCTTGAGGAACTTAGAATTTTTTTATAAAAGAACTTTTGCGCGTCGTGGCATAAAATTATGGTAACGAACTTAACTTCTATATTAATGCATAAAAAGGCTAAGTTAAACTCCTTATTGTTAGAGTTTGAATTGTGTTGCAAATAAATTCCTCGACATAATTGTAGAGGGACACTCCTCTGTGTGTCGGTATTACATGTAAACCCCCTTGAATAAATGGCAGCCTTAGCAAATGAGTGAATGAAAGAAATCACGAGATGACTCTGCCTGACTAGCTCAGGGATGAAAGGTATGCTCCCATTCATGTAGAGTGTGGGATAGTAGTTGTGATAGGCTGACTTCCCTTATGCAGCAGTGTTAATATATACATCTTGAAAAATTGAAAATTTAAAAAGTTTAAATGTTGAATAAACGGGAGTGATTTTGTGATTAATGAATAATTTTATGCCTTGGAAAAATAAAAGAACTTGCTTAGAGATTTTCTAATTTTGTTAAGCATAGACTAGATACAATCATGCACACATGCTTGCAAAGGATCTTGGCCTAGGGAAAAGTACTTGACTTTTCAATTAGTCTAGCATGTTGAAACCAAACTTTTTGTTGAGGGCTAAAATTTTAGATCACTTGATTGTCCTAATTATAACTTTTCCATAGCATTTTATTTTCTATTGTTCATTATTCATTGCTTGTATATTCATTGTTTGAGGACAAACAATAGCTTAAGTTTGGGGGTGTGATAACTCCATAAAAATACTATATATTTTAAGTATTTTTACTTAAGTTATTATTTGTCTAAAAGTCGTAATCGTATTTTAGTTGCATTTAGGACATTTCATGCACGTGGTGGAAAAGTTTGCCTCAACTAGTTTTTCTTTACAAAGCTGATGCTGCTGATGAGAAGGGTTGTGTGTTGGCTGTGATGATGCATGTGATATGAAATGAACAAGGATGAAATTATTTGCTTAGACAAATTTATGCGAGCGATAAAGGAACTGAAGATGATGAACGTGAGAAATTTTTTTCCACGACAAGTTTATCTTGCAAGTCTGACGTTGTACGAGACAAAATTACTGACGTCGCATGGCTAGTTGTCCAATGCACCTCACGTAAACCCTTGCCCCTACTAATGATTTGGGACCACTGCCATCTGCCATATTATTCACGAAATGGGAATTAATTCAAGGGTAGTTGGGGAAATTTCAAGGGCAATAAACCCTAGAAATTCCCCACTATAAATAGAACATTATGCCCTCTATTTAAAAGATCTCACTCTCACCTATCCTAAAAGTTTTGGAAAAGACGGCTGAAGCACATTCTTCTCCACCGTTCCCCTCTCGTCCTTCCTTGGTGTCCTCTATATATGGGTTTCATCGGAGTAGTGGCTAGGCCCTCAGAGAGGCTAGCACGTTTGAACAGTCTTGGTGGCGGTCTGATGTCACACCAACAACTCTATTTTTTGGAGTTTTCTTCTCTCTTTGTTCTTCATTTCTTATCTTTTAAGGGCTTGTACTTAATGAATATTTTGGGATGATGTTGGCCGTACCATGAACTATTTTATTTGGTGTTGAAGATGTTTGGATATTATTTTATTTTATGTTTAATGGATGATTAAGTATATTTATTTTTATTGTTGTTTTGTTCACTATTTTAATCTCATGCCTTAGCATTATAAGAGCTCTTGAGAGATTGTCTGGTGCCTTGGTATAATATTCCTAGTCTTTGTAAGAGCTGTTGAGAGATAGTCATTTTTCTAGGGGCTGATACCTAATATCGAGAGAGCTAGGTTAGATCTACGTGAACAATGAAACTAAACTAGGATGGTGAGGCTTTAATCCGCTTTAGAGAAAGGGGAGAGTTTCAAGCGATTAAAAGAGATAGTACTCAATCGATAGGCTAGAGTCATTTTTTACGTTGAGAGGTATTGCAGTGGCAATAGGTGTATCAGGTTCCTTACTAGAGATAACTTAGGAACACTGTAGTAAATCCTGTCGGGAAACATATGCACAACATACTTAGTTCATCCTACACATAGAAAAGTTTTTAGCCATAGCAAATCCAACCCAAGTGCTTCATTAGAAGTCTGATTGTGTGAGGTTGTTAGTCTATATTCATAACTCAAACATTTTTCACCTTAGCAACTTTTATTTACTTATTCTTGCAATTAATTTTTTCCTTAGCAATTTTTATTTGTTTACTCTTTCATATTTTTCTTGCCACAAAAAAAAAATTTCTGCTCACTTCGCACAATTCTTGCCTCAACAAACTTATTCCATTTGTTCATACCATCTGTCATAGCTCTTTTCTCATTTGTTTATATCATTTGATTTAGGCGTTTGGGATTAGTTAGCGACACCTATTTCTAGTTGTAGTAATCTTTAAAGAATTCCACCCAATCTTTGTGAAGACGATACTCACTCACTACTGTATTACTTACATCACTTGTGTATACTTACGCAGATTTGCATGCCATATCACACACATTTACAGGCGATCACTTCTTTAGCAATCAATCTCTCCCTCTATGTGAATCAGGAGTTGGACCTTCCTCGATTCAATTATGATGTGTTTAGCTTTTCATGTTTGTAGGTTTTCCCGAAAGGATCTCTCATGTCAGATGTTTCAAGTGCAGTCTTGAATGTTACTCAAGGAGATGATATGGAACGAATTCGAAACAAATGGTTCAAGAGCGGTGCTACTTGTCCTGACATCGACCCCATTGTATCATAAAAGATTCTTGGTCTCAAGAGATTTTGGGGCCTTTTCCTCATTGCTGGTGTCGCATCGATATTGGCGCTTGTCGTTTTCGCAACAATGTTCTTTTATGAACAGAGGCATGTCTTGTTTCAGTTCCATCCCGAGACTCGGGCATGGCAAAAAGTTCGAATCATGTCGAGAATCTTTTACCAGAAAGACCTGAGTTCCCATACTTAAAAAAAAAAACGAACCCAAAGGTGCAAGCAGCCATTGCAGGGTCCATAGTATAGGTGTTGATGAAAGTTCATCAAACACTAATTGCCCCACAAGTCCATCAAGCTTGTCGAACCGGACATATTCTTCGGACTTCGTTTCATTGTAAAACAAGGATCAAGTACAAATTCTCCCGATCCATAGAGTATAGGAATATGGTGGAAGATAACTTAGAGTAATAGTCGGGTATTGCCAAGGATATAATGGAGGACTTAGTAAAACAATCAGAAAGCTGTGGAGGGTATAGTGGCAAGACTTTAGAGAAGATATTAAAATTCAACAAACATTATTTGTTTATTAAGCAGAAAAAATGACTGACTACACTGTAAACTAATTACACATTTATGTATAACTTTCTAATTAATTGGCTACCTACCGCCGGAGAGCTTTTAGAATCAAAGCGTGTCGACAGCGAAATCCGATGTTTTCAGCTTTGCTATAGTTGTTTTGGAGGTGGTTACGGGGCAGTGAAGAGGTGGATCATACGTTTCCCGATGAACAAATCAATTTTTTTTTTACTTTGCACGCAATAAAAAATACGACCATAATCGTAATTTAATTTCCTGGTAGACGATAAACGTTTATAATTTTGGCAGAATCGCCAAGCGTGGCAGAGCTTGATTTCGGAACTGCTTACCAATGTTATCTTGACAGCCGTCATCACATTCTTCTGAATAGGCTTTGCATGACTAAATGCCCTGCTAAGGTTTTCAAGTGAACTCCAAAACCTAGCAAAGCTCCGCCACCGTAATCTGGTTCAACTCCGTGGATGGTGCAATGAACAAGGAGAGATGCTTCTCATATATGATTACTCGGCCAATCGACTGTTGAGTCACCTCCTTTTCAACCATAGCAATACAAGGGGCAGCTCTGTTTGGCGATGGCAACACCGATACCGCATTATCAAATCCTTTGCTTCTGTTTTTCATAATCTTCTTGAGGAATGGAATGAAACATTACCTCTTGAGCCATCATTCTTGATCCCGACATGAGTTTCATGTCGCGGCCATCATGCAGCTATCAACAAAAACAATTCAGTTCATGGAATTTTCAGTTACATGTCACCAGAATACATGGAATCTGGAGAAGCAACCCCAATGGCTGATGTTTATAGCTTTGGAGTGGTGGTCCTGGAAGTGGTCAGTGGGCATATGGAAACTGACTTCAGGCGGCCTGAGGTATTGTTGGTGAAATGAGTACACGACTTCGAGACATGGAAAAGGCCGCTTGAAGATCTGATTCATATCAGGCTGAATGAGGAAACTGTGTATATGAGTAGCTGTGGTTACAGAGTTTCTATGTTCATAATCTAAGCCAGTTTTGATTGATTTTGAGTCCAATTTGCAAAAGCTCCGACTGTTTCTTTCCATATCCACTGCCATGAACTCCTCATACATGATGATTACAAGATGAATCAGATGTATAGATAGACTGAACCGAAAACCAGTACTAAATTATTTCTTCAATACGGTCATTTCGAGTTTGCGTCATTTGAAAGAAAATTGTGATGATAAATATGACATGATACAGCAAAAACAGTTTAACGGCCAAGTGCTTAGGATGTCATATTTATATGGACAAATCTTAATCTGACATCATACAGATTATCATGCAGCGCCTTCGAGTGTCCTTAGCTTATTGAGTCCGGTATTTCTTCTTCATCATCGCTTTCGATCCCAACCCAGTCAATAAAAGCAAAGAGGAACTCTCTGAAGCTGAATTTTCCATTCTTATCCCAGTCCATTTCTTCTGCAAGTTCCAATTGGGAATTACCAAAAGAATGATTAATATAACTGAATATAGAAGAAACTGCTGAGAAATTAAAAGTATATTGAGTTGAATATTTGATACTGAATCTAGTCCGAGTAATACGTGCAAGGGATCGTTCCCATGGAGAAGTTTCATTTAATGCCTTCATCATGTCTTTTTTGTTCATTTTTCCATCACCATTCTTATCAAGAAACAGGAATGCCTCAATAATAGTAGCGAAAGTGGTCTCAAGCTGTTGAGAATTCATCTTCAATGTCTTAAACATTCCGAATTCACCATTAAAGATGCTTATAAATACCTTCTAACACAACATGCTACCTGTTCTCAAACAAGGACAAGAAACAAACATAAGGTCACTGCGGGTACATTATCAGGAGAGGAGGAAGGTTTCATTAGGAGATAGATGAGACATAGAAGCACAATAAACTCGCTAAATTGTATCCCTTGGCTCCCGTTGATATCACATGAACGAAACAAATCCTCAACCTCCTCTTTTGTCAATCGAAGTTGCAATTTATCCAAGCATTTGTTCAGTTCCTCGCAATCAATGGTTCCACTGGAATCTTCATCTAAAGAAGGAGAAAAGAGAGTGAGAGTTAATTTGTGGCAAAAACTCCAAGATAAAAGCTTACAGGGAGCTTCAAGATTGAACTCGTTGCAACCAACCATACTGCTCGAACACGCCTTTGTGGTTTCTGAATCCATCCCGGCACTGAGGGAACCTCGAGTTAATGCTGTCAATTGATTTGACATTAGATTTTCCTGATGAACGTCTCTTCATCTCAATCATTTTCCTTTCAAGCTTTGAATCCAGCTTATTGTACTTGTTTGATGAACCACAATTACAAAGCATGCTTCCGATTCTACCCGACAAAGACTTCAGGGGAGGGAAAGGATGAAATTTGCCTTAAGATAAGAAGAGAAATCTAGATGTCAAATGCAGGCTCAGTGTCGACAATGAAGATAATACTCCACATTTTTCGACTAAAGTGTTTCGTAGTGAAACTAATTGTACATATAACAGTTAAAGATTCTACGAACCGTCCATTTTCATCTCAGCAGTATAATCTAAGAAGAAAGGTTGTTTCCTTTTCAGTTTACAGAAATGTAGTGTAAACCAGTTGGTGCTATTTGCATCCATCACCAATCAGTACTAATGGAGAAGGTATATACAATAGCACATTGCTCGATTTCAAAACCACATTCGACCTTTGGCTGGGAAACAGAGTTGTTCTGCTGAACTCAAGGTGGTTATAAATGGTGACAGCGGTGACAATCTTTTCCGCTTTGAAGGCTAGTTTTAATCATACAACTCCAATTCCATGGTAGTTTTAAATATCAAGTTAACAAACCTTAAAAAAGAAGTGAGTTTTGTAAGATTACATTAACTTCCATGTACTGATAATTGAAAAATATTATACACTGAAAAATTGCAGACTAGACTCAAGTGTCCAGATATATAGAACCCTAATCAGCAATGAACAACCAAAACAAAAACTAAAAAACTTACATAAGTAAATATGGCTGATATGAAAAATAAAACATAAAGGTGTGGAATAACTCAACCCTTGAGCTTCAAGCATATAAATCATCAGGACTTGAAAAAGAATGGGAAATTTATAACCCAGCACTTCAATAACATTAAACTATACAAGTACACAAAATATATAGATGAAGCCGATAAATGGAGAGAACGTAACGTACCCATTGAAGCTTAAGTTGAAGATGATGAAATGAAAGCGGTGGTTCTAGGAAGAGATAATGAAAAAGTAAAGTTCTCAAGTGGACAAGGAGTGATGAAGGGAAAGCTGTAGTTTGTCCCACAAACTGAAAAGGAGTAAGTGGTGAAGGAAGGGGATGGGTAAAGAATAAGAAGATAATAACGAGAGCTCACAAAGGGGAGGGTGCCAGCATAAATCACGGTCATTGACAATCAGTACACTTTCTATTGGAAAATCCTAACTGTACAAATTATAGACCATACATATAGGAAGGGAGAGGGAGTGAGCATAAATTCTGTTTCACCATGGACGGTTGTCTCTCGTTGGAATGAAACAGAAACATGCCATGTCAGAATCATTATTTCACTTTCAATTTTAGGTAAACTACAAGTTTAGAATCCAACTATCACTTCTGTTCCGTTTTAGTCACTAAACTATTTTATTTTTCGAAACCACACCTAACATTTAGTTTTAGTTTTGTTTTGGTCATCCGCCGTCAAAAAATTAATGGTAATGTTGATATGTCACCATAAGAATATATCACACCATCTTTGAAAAAATTAAAAAAATATCACATCAGAAGTTCTTTAATTTTTTAACGATGGGTGACTAAAATAAAACCAAAACGTAACATTATGTGTGATTTAAAAAAAGTTTGATTAACAAAGAAAACAAAAATGATAGTTGAGATACTAAATGTGTAATTTATCTTATCAATTACAAAATCATTGGTACAAAATTTCATTTAAATCACATCACAAGACTTAGGGTTATTTTCGATTTTTTATAATTTTATATGAAAAAAAGGCCAACCATTGAAATAAATTTACCAGATTAAAATTAAACAATAAATCATACAATATGCAAAATTTCAGATCACTCGAACATCAAATCAATTAAATACAATCCCTCTCTACCTCGATTGATTTTGAACATGTGTTACCATTCGTCCTACTATTTCTTGGACATGATACAAAGAATAATTCTAAAGCTACAGCAAGAACCTTGCGCTGTTTATTAGCCTACACGTTATTGGTTTACATATTTGGGTTTAGGCTCACGTTATACGATTTGGCTTATATAGATTTAGTTTTAATGATTATCAGCTCATTTGATTTGATGGATTTAAAATTTTTAAATAAAAATTTAATTGAAAAAAATCAAATATATTCACCAAACATAGAAAATGACTATGTATTGCTAATTTGATTCAATTAATTTGGTTCATTTGAGGGAGTGAAATTAATTAAGATGCAATATGTGTGGGTTAGTCTTAACAACAAAATCAATATATGGAACTAAATGTAATAATAAATGATTCTCTACTGGTGTTTCCATAAAAGGGGATTTATAAAAAAAAAAGGTAATTTGAGTACAGATGTACAAATTAATGGGATTTTCCAGTGTTATAGACTATATAAACAGAGCCTAGTGAATAATTTAGAGCATACACTAATTTCTAAACCATAGACAAAGAAATATATAAAATATTAGGATGGCTAGACTGTCATTGCTTCCCTTGGCATGCTTTCTAGTCCTTATTGTTTTCACTTTTGCCATTCAAACAGCAAAGGTATTGCTCCTCTTTTTAATCTCTTCCTTTTTTATTCAAACATGCCTCTTTCTAATAGTATTTGCTTATTATCAACAGGCTGGCAAGGAAGGATCGCTTCGGCCCCAAGGTATATTTAATCTGCTCTTAATTTCTTATGTTTGGTGAAATAAAATCTTTATCATGTGTAAAATTTTGTTTGTGTGCATAAATTGTCCAAATGCATGTGGCATTTTCAAAAACTCATCATAAGAAGCCATGTATGTTCTTTTGCAACTATTGTTGTCAGAGGTGTTTGTGTGTTCCTTCAGATTTTTATGGGCATACCGGAGAATGTCCATGTTACGATAGCATTCTCACTAAAGAAGGCAAATATAAACGTCCCTATTTTTTTTTAGTTTTGATATAATAACATTAATTTCCTTTCAAAGATGTTATAATAAATATATATTATTGGTGGATTAAACTTGAAAACTTTAGTTCATATTTGAATAATTATATGAATGAAAAGGAAATCTTTCATAATTTTATTTTCATTATTGGGAGATTTCAAAATGGATGTCACAATAAGTTGAGTGATTATTTATTTTTTATTAAAGTTAAGATCATTACAAAGTTGTTCATGTTCTAAATACTCTCAACCATCTGACAATAAACACTCAATCATTCTACTGCAGTCGTTGGTACTCGAACTTGTGACCTCTAGGAATAACAACGATTCCTTTAACCACTGAGATAAGTCGAGTGATTAAGTTTATTTTAAAAAGGGGTAATTTTATAATATTTTAATTTTAATATTATTAACAAAAATATAAAAAATCCATGTGAGAATGATAACCATAAAACATTAATAAGTAACGATAAAAAAATGCTCAAATGGCTTAATTGATGTATTTTTTTAATTTATTGATGGCTTAATTGATTTAAATTCTTAACACATGAATTTAATTGGGTGTAAAAGGATTAAGAGTTGAATTTCTTTGCGTAAAGTACACAAATGGTCCCTTGATTATAGGGTACTGCTTTATTAAGTCATTTGACTATTAAAAGTTACAAAATAATCCTCCAATTTCATAATGTTGCTTTATTAAGTTCATTGACTATTAAAAGTAACAAAATGGACACATGACTATTCATTATGTTCTAAAGTCATAATTTTTTGTAAAAAATTAGTGGTTGCTTAAGTTGTACGTTAGCATGATAACTAAGATATGATAGTTGTTTGAGACTCCGAAATCAAATTTTATCATATCACAATCAATAGGTTAACGTTCAGCTCCTAATACCGTCAAATTTTTAATGAAAAATGACGAGTTTGGAACATAATGAATAGTCAGGTGACCATTTTATAACTTTTAATAGTCGAGAAACTTAATAAAGTAACATTCTATAGTTAGAGGACCATTTTGTAACTTTTAATAGTCGAATGACTTAATAAAGCAATACCCTATAGTCGAGGAACCATTTGTGTACTTTACTCAATTTCTTTTTAAAGTTTAATGGCTTTTTGCATCTTTAATCTAAATAATAATAATGAAAGAAGAAAACTAACGTTGTCTATCAACAAACTCGAATAAAACTACATTTATTGTATTTCAAAAATTAAAAGACTATGAGTTGGATGTTGAAGTCAATCATCTCCTTACATCAATGTTAGGTTCCTTATTACGATGTTCGAGAGTAGGTATGGCAAGTGATAGAAACATTGATGGATACAAATATTTTTTAGGTTCCTTATTACTATGAGTTTGGATTTTGAAATATTATTTTAGGATAGACACATATATTAATAATATAAAATATTTGTATTTATGAATGCAAAATAAAATTTTAGAACAAACGTAATTAATAAAATAGATAATTATTCAAAGAAAATTTAAATTTCAAAATGAGCATTTGTAAACCCTCGTCAAAGAGTAAATTTGCATTTGAATGAAAATAAAAAAACTAAAGTAACAACAACAACAATTATTATTATTATTATTATTCTTATTATTGTAACACCCCCAAGTTTTGGGCTAGTAGTTTCCAGTTTACTCGAGAGGTAAGTGAACCCCGTTAATTTTATAATTTAATCGAGTTAAGTTTAATTGGGCCGGTTCGGAGCCTAATTAGCCAAAAATGATTTTTAAATGTTGGAATATTAAAGAATGACCAAAGGTGCAATTATTCATTTTTCAAATTTTGAAGCCTTTATATACTCTTTCAATTTCTTTTTCTCCTCATTATTTCCATTTTCCTTATTCTTCATCTTCTCTCAGAGAGTCTAGCCAAAGGTAAGGGTTTAAGCCTTTTTCATGCTTCACTTTCGTTCCTAATTCCTCCAGCAACGTCGTATTGTTAAATCAAGCCTTGGATTTTTATAGTTAAAGAGAAAAGTGGGAGTTTTCATCAAA